CATTCCTCTAGTAATATAAGTGTAGATAATAAATTCACAAACTATCAGACTTAGACTTACTGTGAACAGACAGCGGTTTCCACAGCCTCACAAAATACAATTAGGATAGGGGTCTTTTTGACCACCACCAATACAAGTAGAAACAACAGATCTAACAAAGCATCTACATGAAATTATAACCCATTTTCAAATATGGAGATGCAGATCTATTTTGTAATTAAAGTCCTGCTTTACTCTGACTTCATATGCTAGAAATATTAGTACGAAATCCATTAACATTACTCATGCAATAAATTTACCTTGTATTGGATTGTGAAAGGCAGCATGAATTTTGGAACATGCTATCCAATAAGACTAATAATCATACAAATTTTATGAGAAAAGTCAAAGCAAAATTAAATCTGATCACACTGTAATCTATCAATAGCTTAACGTTAAATCATGCTTAAAGTGAAAATATGAATAATCTTGGTTCTGAAGCTATTTATCCATAAGTACAGTCAGTTTGTACAATTAAAGAGTCCCAAAATACTCTACATTTAGCCAAATCTTGTCCACCATATTCAGTTAAAATCTAAGAACCACTGGTATAGTGCACAGGGAACAACAGTTGCAAATATGACCAAATAAACCAATATAAAAGTTTTATATTTAAAAAATATAAATATCCTACATGTGCATACTATATCATAATTTCATTAAGATTGTCTCTCAAAAATGCATATGCAAGCAAAAGGTAACAAACCAGGTGTTCAATCAATGAATGTTAAATCTCTGCACATCAAAAAAGGTTAAGGTTAAGACAAGTCCCAGGACTTAAACATATAACTTTAGGAAATAAATATCCCCCCCCCCCCACTTATTTCAATTTCAGACCAAGGTGATCCATCCAGCTAGCCAGATTTCAAGTTCCTGATTATTAGGTTAAACCTACTGTGTGAAGGAAAAAAAATACTTATCCTACAAAGGGAAATCTGCTTTCTCAATTTGATTCAAATGTTTGCTATTGGATATGGGGAAACCATGTAGTTCTGTAAAATATTTTGCATACATTATCTTGGCAAAACATGAAAACTATTGGATAGTTAAATCAATTATTTGCAAAGGGCGTGTAAAAACGCACTTTTTCCTATACACTTTAATTTTGTGACAGTTGTCACTGAACTAAGAATTAGTAAATATGATACATCTTATTTTTCAATACGAAATCATCATACAGGATCTCATTTAACTGCTTTTTCCTAAAATGACCAATCAAATCTGAATTTTAAGATGGTGTATGGTATCAACCATCATGGAAACCAAACAAAAAATCCCAAATTACTCTTCTCAAATATGTACTTCATACTCAGAACATACACCGAGCACTGCATATGTTACAGCAAAGCAGAGTACCAGAGTGTCAATGCAAATATTTCATTAATGGTTATCAGTCAGGTACACATTGTGTATATATCAACTTTCCTTCCTTTTGCATTACCATGTAAAACATTCTATTTAAAAGCATTTTTCCAAATTACACACATTTTACCCTACATAAGGTATTCTATAAATTTGTAAACAAAGATCACTCACTCACTCAAAATAAACAAAATATACCAGTAGACAAACCACAGAAGCCAAAATCAACACACCAAAACAAGGTAACCCACAAGAGTAAAAAAAAACAGTAGATCTGTCAAAAAACTCATTGTGAAAGACTTAATCATTAATCTTAAAAATATGTATTGGTAAATTTCCAAAGATTAGGAGATAAAAAGCCAACAAGGTTGGAAGTTATTGACTATCAAAATCAATGACATCTTCAAATCAATTAAAACAAACTGCCTTCAGCACAAACCAAGGCTGTACCTCTGGCACCATTTCCTCAGTAGAAACTGAATTAGACATCCAAGACATCAATCTTTTTTTTCTAAAATAAAAAGTAATGCCTAGGAAGGAAAGTCTTCCTGTGCACATTCTCTATCCTAAGCATTTCAAATGCCTTGTGTACAGTCAAAGGATCATAGGATCATCTCCAGCAAAACTAAACTTTGAAGCAGCATCTGCAGCCAACAGGGATGAAAACTACCTAGCACAAGACAGAACATGTTAGATACAACTAAAAATTGAAGAAAGTAGAACATACAAAATGAAAACTACAGCAGAGGTCACCAACTCAATCAAGAAAATTTGTTTTAATAAACTAATTACATTACAGAAGTCCATAATTTATATAACTGCAGAGCTACTAACAAAAGCCACATAAGAAATAACATGAATTTATAGTGCCAGATCAAAACTAAAAAAAATATATACTTAGTGATATACTGAAATTATTCCTTTGTTCTTAGCAACAGAACAAAAACTCAAATTGCTCTAATAAGTGAATAAGAATATATACAAAAAAAATCACTTACATTTAAAAACTGTGTTTCATAATTTTTTTTTCCGTAGTCTAATATATTTTTGTGTGAAATATGCTTAATCTATAAAAGAATAGTAAAGCACTTAAACAACATGACATTCAACACACCTTTCAACAATACCTTGAATCAATTCTTACTACAACAAAATTAAAACCATATTAAAAACACTACGGGTAAAAAAAAAAAAAAAAAAAAAAAATCCAGATATTTTGAAGAGCTCATTAGTAAATTCCATAACAGAAAGAGACCCTGTAGTAATAAAGATTTCTAGGCAGAATCTTATGCTTGGAAAATGTTTTAAAGCCTAATAACAAAACTTAACAATTTAGATTTAACAAGTTCGATCAGACATTACTATCAGCTATTGTAACAAAAGCTCTAAAAAACAGAAACTCAACTATGGACAAAGTCTACAAACAAACTAAATGTCAAACAAGAATTAAACCAACATTTACATAAAGGGAAATACTAACTGACCCACTATGTAGGTTATGTCAGTAAGGAAAACATTAGAACAATAAATAAATACAATGCCGAAATTCCTTTCCTAGAGAGCAGAGATAGAAACACCAAAAAAATTCAAACAGATCTAATATTCACAGGTACTGTGAATTAGATTCTACAACAGTAGAAATTCCTATAAAGATTCATCAGACATACGCATGCATACATATGCACACTTGCACACATGCATGCAGACACACACACAAACACAACACACAAATGAATATAGCTACATATATTCTATATGTATATAATCAAATGATATGCCTAACCTCATTCAGTGTCCCAAAAGAAGTTATGATATGACAACCAAAGCTGTCAGAGGATGGTTCTGTTGCGGTGTTGCCCCTTTGGTTTGCCAGAGACTATGATTATCACTGAGGCAGGGATTTAACAAAGAGGGTCCTACCAGGCGTATGATTAACCCAGTTTGTAATATACATTCATTGTCTAGTAATTATATGCATTTGTATTATATAATCTATTGAAACTTATCCACCCCCCCACCCCCAATTTTTTTTTTTTTTTTTTTTTTTTTTTTTTTTTTATAATGCATGACAGCATATGCACACATTTTCTGAGCACATCCATGAGAGGGTATTATGTGAAAATACTGTACCATTATGAAATTAAAACATTTAATCCAGAGATAAAAGATTATCACAAAAGTTAATTACTAATGGACTATATGCATGATAGTGGCTAAAAAGGTTAGACTATTGGAAGGCCATCTATAATGATGTCTGCATTGTCAAATTGATCCAGATATCAAGCTGGAGCTCTTGCATAACAATACTCAAGATATCACTAGAAAAACTATTAAAGATTGAAAATTAACCAACAATAATAAACCCCTCAGTCAACTACCAAAGTGGAAAACATGAAAGCTCCATGCAAAGGAGGCAGAGAAGGTTGCAAATGCAAAAGTTCCATGCAAAGGAAGCAAAGGCAGAGAAGGTTGCAAACACAAAAGCTCCTCACAAAGGAGGCAGAGAAGCAGAGAAGGTTGCAATCGCAAAAGCTCCATGCAAAGGATGCAAAGGATGAAGAGGCAGAGAAGGTTGCAAATGCAAAAGTTCCATGCAAAGGAGGCAAAGGCAGAGAAGGTTGCAGATACAAAAGCTCCTTGCAAAGGAGGCAGAGGCAGAGAGGCAGAGAAGGTTGCAGCAGAGAAGGTTGCAGATACAAAAGCTCCTTGCAAAGGAGGCAGAGGCAGAGAGGCAGAGAAGGTTGCAAACGCAAAAGCTCCATGCAAAGGATGTAAAGGATGAAGAGGCAGGCAGGATGCAAACGCAAAAGCTCCATGCAAAGCATGTAAAGGATGAAGAGGCAGGCAGGACGCAAACGCAAAAGCTCCATGCAAAGGATGTAAAGGATGAAGAGGCAGGCAGGACGCAAACGCAAAAGCTCCATGCAAAGGATGTAAAGGATGAAGAGGCAGGCAGGACGCAAACGCAAAAGCTCCATGCAAAGGATGTAAAGGATGAAGAGGCAGGCAGGACGCAAACGCAAAAGCTCCATGCAAAGGATGTAAAGGATGAAGAGGCAGGCAGGACGCAAACGCAAAAGCTCATGCAAAGGATGAAGAGGCAGGCAGGACGCAAACGCAAAAGCTCATGCAAAGGATGAAGAGGCAGGCAGGACGCAAACGCAAAAGCTCATGCAAAGGATGAAGAGGCAGGCAGGACGCAAACGCAAAAGCTCATGCAAAGGATGAAGAGGCAGGCAGGACGCAAACGCAAAAGCTCATGCAAAGGATGAAGAGGCAGGCAGGACGCAAACGCAAAAGCTCATGCAAAGGATGAAGAGGCAGGCAGGACGCAAACGCAAAAGCTCATGCAAAGGATGAAGAGGCAGGCAGGACGCAAACGCAAAAGCTCATGCAAAGGATGAAGAGGCAGGCAGGACGCAAACGCAAAAGCTCATGCAAAGGATGAAGAGGCAGGCAGGACGCAAACGCAAAAGCTCATGCAAAGGATGAAGAGGCAGGCAGGACGCAAACGCAAAAGCTCATGCAAAGGATGAAGAGGCAGGCAGGACGCAAATGCAAAAGCTCATGCAAAGGATGAAGAGGCAGGCAGGACGCAAATGCAAAAGCTCATGCAAAGGAGGCAGAGAAGGTTGCAGACACAAAAGCTCCATGCAAAGGAGGCAGAGGCAGAGAAGGTTGCAGACACAAAAGCTCCATGCAAAAGAGGAAGAGGCAGAGAAGGTTCAGAGAAGGTTGCAGACAAAAAAGCTCCATGCAAAGGAGGCAGAGGCAGAGAAGGTTGCAGACACAAAAGCTCCATGCAAAAGAGGAAGAGGCAGAGAAGGTTGCAGACACAAAAGCTCCATGCAAAAGAGGAAGAGGCAGAGAAGGTTGCAGACACAAAAGCTCCATGCAAAGGAGACAGGAAGAGGCAGAGAGGCAGAGAGGCAGGCAGGTTGCAAACGCTAAAGCTCCTCGCAAAGGAGGCAGAGAAGGTTGCAGAAGCAAAAGATCCAAGGAAAAGAGGCAGAGAAGGTTGGAGACATGAAAGCTCCACACAAAACAAGCATAAAGGACCATGA